TCCTACAGAGGCTAGAATATAGAGAAAATGAAAATGTCAATTTCCAAAGTAACTTTTTCCTTAGGATCATGAACCACTGACATGATCTGTATGTCTCTCCTGAAATAGAGGAGAGCAAACATTTTGCCAAATGTTTAACTAAAAATAGTAGAAGTACTGATTTCTTAGCCACTAAATCAAGGATACTGCTGAAAATATTCAAGTTTTATTCTAAATCTACTTTGGAAGCAAGAGATAGTTCTACATTATTAAACTGGTAAGCAGGGATTGATACATAATTTGTGAACCTAGTGCAAAATTAAGATCTTATACCCTCTGATTAGAACTCCAGGGGAAAAGCCTTCCCTTTATGTTATTTCTCTCAGTGTGTTAGGGTGAATATTGTTTACTTTCATCAGTCTATTTTTTTCAGTATATTATGTTTACATTCCTTATTTAGAGTTGGAGCATGTACACAACACATCTTAATTCCTCTTTTCATCCCTTAGCCCTTCCTTCTTATGCCTTTCATCTCTTGATTCCCTTAGCAGTTAAGAAAGATCTGTCTCCCTACTTTCTATTATATATCTTTTATTTTGCTCTGTATTTATACTTTGTTTCCTCATACAGAGAAACCTTGCAATGTCTAAGCTCATGTGTCTGATTTATTTTACTTAATATTAAGGTCTTAGAATGCATCCATTTTCCTACAAGTCACTCAAGTTTATCTTCCTTAATGGTATAGTGCTCCAATGTGGGTAATTACTATAATACATTTTCTTTATCCATTCATCTGTTGGTGGACATTAAGGTGAATTCCAAGATTTAACTATTATGAATTATGCTGTTATAAGCATGGGTATGCATGTATCACTGTAGCACAACATCTTTAACTCTTTTGAGAAGATACCTCACAAGGGAATCACTAGTTCAAATGGAAATACTGGTCATATTTTTTGAGGATGTCTACACTGATTTCCACAGTGGTTGTATTAGTTTAGCTTCCCACCAGCAAGGGAGAAGTGTTGCTTTATCTCCCACAGCATTTGTTATTATTTGATTTCTTGATGATGGCTATTCTTTCTCAAGTAGGGTGAAATCTCAGTGTTTTTTTAATTTGCATTTCTTCATGTATTCATTGGCCATTTATACTTCTCCTGTGAAGTGTCTATCATTATACTTGCGCATTTGTTTAAAATCTGCTTTTGGATGTTACACTCTTTGGCACAGGGTCACCATTAGATGAGTACAAACCTTTACAGACATCCAGGGTTCACCTGAGGGCTCCACACGTGGGGAAAGCACACCTTGCTTGGAAAACCCTAACACCTGTGCAAAGCCCCCTATGCTGCTGTGCTCATGGGAGTGAATGGAAGAGCGAGCAGCCAAGAACACTCCCTGGAGGCAAGGATGCAGTGAAATAAAAAGCCACAAACGAGAGGAAGCCTCCTATTGTCTCATTGGAGTTCATTTAGTGAGTACAGATTCAAGGTTAATTTATTTATAACTTTTTATCACTGGTGAGCGTTAAACTCCATAAACAGGATTCTTTTCTGAGCGTTGGGTTCTGTGCAGCTCCACTAGTCATCTATCCACACAGTCAGCCTTGATGTAAATTGTGGATTGTTACTTAGAGGAGGAAGTCGATTCTTTATTAACAAGGTCCCCATAGATTATAAATGTAAGCAGACCCCTAGCAATAAAAACTGGGATTTAAATGGATTCTCATTTATATATTTGGCAAAATGTGACTTGCTCTATCTTGTTTGTAATGTTGGCATGTGAATATTATGGAAGCCTACTATAGGATAATTTCCAGTGACATTTCAGTTGATTTGCCTCCAGAATTCAAAATGCACTTGTAAAATAGATTGAATGAATACTTATCTTAACCATTTACCCTTTAACATACTTATCCTCCCTGCAGTAACCAAAGCCTTCTTTGAAGATGGTATCACTTAAATAAATTATCTTGTTCCCACACCATCCCTTTCTACTTTATGAATTCCCATTAAAATGAATCTTTGGCTTTTGCATACTGTCATCAATCGCTTTAATTATAATTTACATCCTAACTATATTTTAATCATTCATTTAGTAAACCACTAAAGGATGCTCATACTCTTACAAATTTTAAAAATGGTGACACTCAAATTCTTGTAATATAGATTAACTCTGCCTCTGATGAATGCTGCTAACAATGCCAGGCAAATAATACTGGAAAGCAAAATCTGACTATGGTTTCACAAAATTTCTTAATAGATAGGCAATGCAGTTTAGCAGCTATATTTATTTTTGTTTGTTCGTTTTGGTTTTGGTACCTGGGATCAAACTCAGGACCTTGCACTTGAGAGTCAGACATAGTGCCACTGAGCTCAATCCCCACCTCAGCAGCGGTATTTAAATTATAAACCTGATACTTCCAATAAATTGTCTTGTGACCCTCAATCTTATCTTTCTCATTTGTAAAATGTGATATTAGTTTCCATGAGTCTGCAAAATTATCTTCTAGTGGGAATATAATATTGCTTCCATGTCTCCAGGAGAGCAGTAAGTAGTTGGGACAAGAAGAGACTTTCATAATAGAAACATTCATCTTAGCATTAAGATCACAGGTAATGATGGGTACAAGAAGGAAAATAAAAATACTGTTTCCGGTGGGTTATGGTGTTTGGTGCAAAGCTGAAGTAAAAATGGTAACACTTAAAAAAACTTGCCCTAATTTCTCAGCAAAGTGCAATATGAATGTCCATTTTTTCATGGCTTCATCTGAATAGCAGGAAAATGTATACTACGAATGTAATTAAAAAGTGCTGATGTCTTCTGAAAAGTCACATGATACATGTCTGTTAGTACTTAGGAATGCAAAATATTCTCAAGCAGGAGAATGAATAATTTAGAGCAACAGATAATTACTTTATATTTTCATGGATCGAATGTAGAGGCAAACATTCCAGGGTTGCTATAAAATGCAATTCCTTATTATAAATCCAAGCCACTGTGCAAATAATAATTCAGAACACTTGGATTTTAGAAATATCATTTGTGAATTATACTATGAAAGGTTTTTCAATGAACGTCTTTGATTTTAAAATACAATAGAAAAAATTCATCAAAATAAAAATTGCATTATCAAAACAGCAGATTCTTCGAGGAAGCATGGATGTGCCGCGCATATTTTGTTTAATAGCTGTATGTGGAAGAGCATGTTGGGTATCATTAAAAAGAAAAGGAAAAATGTCTATGAATGTTTTACTTTAAATGTCATTGTTTTCTTTAAGATGTGCAAAATTTGATCTTTGATAAAACATCATTTCCTAATCTATATTGCAGGAATTAATTGGCTGGGCAAAAATAAAAAAGAAAAAAAAATTGAAAATAAAATAACAGATTATTTAATAAAACAAACCAGATACAAAATCTTGCCTTGTATTTACAGACAAATTTTAATGGAATATTTCATGGTCCAACACAAATATCAGACCCAAATGACACTAATTCTTGTACAGCCTTTGGCTTACCCTGTATAACAAAATCTGTTAAAGTAGACTATAAAATACTTTATGGTAAGTGAACTTCCAAAGACACAAAGAAAATCCTCCATAAATTTAAAAGCTTATCTCAAATTCTTGTTCGCATAAGCTTAAGATAGATATATTATTAATTGCATCACTTTAGGTAGTTGAAATATGTAATATTGAGTAGAGAGTGAAAATTAAAAAAATAGTTTTAGATAGTTTTGCTTCTGTTCCTAGTCAACATTAGCAAACATACATAGTGAATGTAAAATTACCCTTACAGAGTTTTGAAAGTTTGGCAATCTCAAGCAAATTTCCCTAAGCCAGCAACACTTTCTGACCCTTAGTCAGCATATTACAAGGTTCAGATATTTCAAGGAATAATGATTGAATGTTGCACAAATAAGAAAACATTTATTTTATGACTGCTTGAATTTTAAAACTTCCCTTTAGAAATTTACAGGAAAAAATGAGTATCACTGAAAAATAATCTAGAGTGAGTGGATAATATATGCATTGCAAAAAAGGTGTTTGAAATAATGTGTCAGCATAAAGATGCTTATTTAGTGACATTTTTATAACCTGTCACTCAAAAAAAAGAAAGTTCTATCTTTCAATATGTTTTCAAGTATAAGAAAATGTGCTAAATGAATAGACAATTCAGTAATGTCCAACAGATAACTAAAATTCAAATTTTATTTTTCCATAATTATCAGACAACTTTTTTTTCTGACAAGACTTTACTGAAAGATGAAGTGCAAATGGGAACCCTGTAAGAATGTTTATAAGAGTTGTACATGACATATTTGAAGAGCCACTAAGTACACATTGAATACTTTGTAAGTATATAGGCATATCAACATGCAAGTGTCATGTACCTAATATTACAATATGCATTTTGTTTTATTGAAAATGTTAATGACCAGAGCAGATCCAATAATTGTGTTTATGTGAAATATGCTTAATTTTGGTGGATCATTTTACAGCACAGAAGCTATCTTTATGCTGTCATAAAAATACCCTTCCAAAAGTTATGAATTTCTTGTCATATAAAGAGAACATTTTAATTTTGAAGCTACATTGCTGGGAGCAGCTGCATTTCTGGGTACCATTTTCAGAGATAAGTCTTTAAATTCTTTTTAACATGGCAGACTTGTTGCAAAGCTAGTTACGTTGAAATATTTATGATAAAAATGGAGCTTTCTTAAGGGAATATTTTTTGGTTGAATGAAAAGCTAAACAACCAATTCACAAACATTGATGTGAACTGAATATGAAGAAAATAGATCAGCAATCCCAAACTCACAAGTTCTTGGGTTACTACTTAACTGCATCATTGAATCTACAATAAGTACAGTAGGTACAGTTAAATAAATTTGTAAAAAGATTAATTTTTATACATTTATAAGGAGAAATATTACTAGTTTTTAAAAATTTCTAGGTCATCTTTCTTTCTATTTATGAGAGTCATTCAACACATCAGAAATACAGAAAAAAAGCAAGAAGGAGAAAAGATATAACAATTCTGTTTACATTTTATACGTTTTTTAACCAATTACTGACCACTGCTTTCAACCATCAATATTTTATTGCGTGTGACTTTCACTAACAGCAAATATAAAGAGAAAAGTGTCTACTAGTATCATGTACAAGGAAAAGCATCTAAAGAGAAAGAAGTATTTGAGGTTTGACAGTACTGTGTGTAAGCGTAATGTTGCATTTCATACTGCACTTAAAAGTCCATGTAGGAATCACTGGTGCTTTGACCCTGGGTGTGGGAAAAGTGCTTAAGTGCTGAGCCCTGGTAAGTTTTTCTTTTTGCCCCTGCAATCTTCAAATATCTTTTAACTTTATTTCTTTTGAAATGTACAGTATATATCAGAGGGGGAAAATAAGGACATTTTTCTTTACATCTTTTTCACATTGGGGCCCATTCTCTCCAAAATTCTATAAATATGAAAAAGAAGGTAAAGATTAAACCAAATATTATTTGTATTATAACCACATAACACAGAAACATCTTACTTTAAGCATATTTTAAGATTCACCATCATAATTAAGAAATTAATATATCCTTTTTTTCCTAGAGGAAAATATGCCCTTAAATGGCATTTTCTTTTAGTATAATTAAATGACATTGTTGAAAATTTTATATTATGCCTATGCAGACAAAATAAAGTGGGAATGTGTGGCAATACTTTGCATTACTTGGGATTATTTTGTAACAATACTTAAATTTTTGTCTCATATCGATAATACTTCTCACCAAAATATATCATCGTATGCGTGATTTTTATTTCAAACACATTAATTTATAAGAAATTACATTTTAAACATTAAATGAAGTAGATGAGATTGCAAAGTATTGCCATTTAAATTATTTTTTAATATTACAATTATATTACAGTGGAATGTTAAATAGGCATGAGAAGAACTATCCATATCACATTGTATCATATTTTGCCTATAGGAAAAGTTAATGATAAAAAAGGAAAACAAACGTAGACCCAAACACCATAGAATATACTACAAGAAGTTGGCTTTTGAGATTTCCCAGGGGTAGGGTGTGCACTGTTATGAGAGTCCCAAAGTAATGCTTCCTGGGATATCTTGTAAGTTATTATTTCCTCTATTTATACTGAAGTATCATAGCCCATGTTAAAAGTGAGAGGTAGAAGGATTATTGTAAGTATGCATGGCAGAGATATTACCAGTTATATCCAATAACTATTGCATTCAATATTAATAATCTCAATACATAAAAATGCTGATGATTATAGAACCCATATTTATATGTTGTTCCTTTTAACTCTCTTTATTATCTTGCTACTACTTTTAATCCATTGCCTTTGGAAGGGTTAAGTGCAAAGGGTATGTTTGGGCTGGAATAGGGAGTAAAAGGAAAACAATAGTACAGAATAGTCATTAAGAGACAATGACTGTAACTATTAAAGGTACTCTATGTTCATTGATTGAATAAATGCATACTTATGAAAAGAAATGAAATCTATTAAAAACACATTTTAAAGATAGTTTAAGAATTTCAAAGTCAATTAGATGTGAATCAAAGTTTAAAATTCAGGTTATTTCTCTGAAGTCATGCTAAAAATTAAATGAAATAATAATTTTATTGGTTTATGTTAATATTTAAGTAAAAAAACCATAAACTTGTTGAATTAGTTGAATTTTTGATTAATGTTCTAATATGTGAGAGGTGAAGATTAACAAACTCTTGGATCTTGTCTAAGAATTGTTTAAAATCCCTTTGCATTAAGTATCCAGCCATAGAATCACAGATATTGCACTATTTTTCAATATTGCCAGTGTATATTTCAAAACAAATTATTTTATCTACACTAGATTTCCTCTTTCCCAGTATTCAAAATGCATATTATAATTACATGGGTTTCCAACATCCATACACAGCAAGTACAAGATACTTACATGTACATACACTGTAGTTACCTATATTTTGCATAGTTTTTAGTGTGTACTTCGTGCCACTTAACAAAAGCATTACTCATCAATACTTTGTACTAGGTGTGTTTTTTTATTTGTTTCATTTGTGATTATTAGTTAAATTTTTGTATTTTTGTGTGTATTAATCACAGATTACCACTTGCAAAAGGAAATAATATTGGGCATATTTCAAAAGTTCTAAGTAATTTTAACTATCATGGGAAAGTTGCAGTAAGTTATGAGGTTTGCATTTTCTCCACAATTAAAAAACAACGTGTAAATTTTGTATTTGCCATCCATTAAATTATCTTTATGTCCAAAGAAAAAAGGAAAAGTGTTTCAGTGTTCCCTTTGGTAACACTTTGCAATAAGTGGCACTAAATTACACGATAACTGCTATGTTACATGGAAGAGCCATCACTGCCAAACAGCTGCTGTACATGTGCCTATATGGAATCTTAATGCAGTTACAGTCATGAGTACATAATTACAAGTGAGCCTGTCTTTTAATTGAGATATTTATATTTTTACAAAGAAATTAAATAAATGAGGTGCTGACTTCTCTGTATTATTAGGAAAGTTACGTTTTCTTTCTCTTTTTGTCCTTTTAATTGTGGAGTGTCAAAGAAAGATTAAGAATCATGAATTAATGTGAGATCATCCAGTTTCTAGATTAAACTCCAGTATCAGTTCGCCTAAACTACTTCTTGGATTTTTCTAGTAAAGAAAACAGTTGAAATCTCTGTGCGTGTGTTTTTTTCTCTCTTGCTCTCTTTCCACACACACACACACACACACGCTCTTTACACACACACTTACACACATGGATGCATTCAAACACACAGACATCAATACTCATGTTCTGTTTTTACACTTGCTTTTACACATACTTTTCCTTTTCTTCTAATTTAGATTATTATTCTACAGAGTACATTCAAAAAATGGAAAAGAGGAAAAGAAGAATGCTGTTTAGAGTTTTTTTTTTTTTGATGGAGGACAATTTACACTGTAAACAGTACACTGGCAGAGAATAGCTACTTTTGGTAAAGAATAACGCTCCATATTCTACGAGGACTGTGAGTGCACACACTTCTTCCACTGAGTCCTCCAAACTCTGTGCTCCATTAGGAGACAGAGAGGGGCTCGATGTGCACACGAGCGTGCACATTTCAGACCTCAAAATATACATGGGTCCCATTTAGGTATCTTACATGATTTTTTTCTAATTTGTTGGAATAGAATTTGTTTGTAATTTATTCCCTTGTTTAGTGAAGTCAAATGTTTTATAAAGATAGAAAAGTGAAACTCCATTGCTAATTATTTTTTCTTGTTACAGAAAATGACATTTAATTCAAATTGAACTATATTTAGCTGAAAGATTTTATTAAAGCCTATGAATGTTAATTTATTTAGTTTTTAAGAGTTACAATGAGATTTTATATTATCCTGAAGGGTTAAACGTCAATAATCTTGAAATGCAACCAATTTTGGATTTCTAATTTTACAGTACTATAAATAATGACTGAGTTATTTAGGAAACAATTTAGTGGTTGGAGCCAAGTAGAATATAGATGAAATGAAGAGGGATGTAAATACAGCATCAATGAAAAGTAGCAATTTCGTAAGTGCATCCTGAAATTAAGCTTTAAATAGTAATTGATGATGCAGTTTATACAATTTACTTCGGCAATAGGAACCTTCCCATTTTGTACTAACAGGATGAATTTTGCTTTGTGGAGTCTTTCTAACGATTATGCATTGAAAGTTATGAACAGTTTATAAACCTATTCTAGTTTCAATGTGTCTAGTAGCACCTACCTGATTCTCTCAAACTACCATACTATATTAACATATTATTGCATTTTTCCACAGATGGTATGGAGTGAACTGCAAAAACAAGCATGCAATCACATCAATGCAGACTTATTTCCTTAAAATGTCATACTGTATATGATTTATTATGTTAACACTCAACCACATCATATTATTTATGTTCTGTATATTTAGAAAAAGTGCTGCTTGACTGACATCGTCCTTTTTCTTTTGTAAGAAATCAAGATAAATGCTTCAACAATCAAAAATAAACAACTTAAAAATTCTAACATTGTCCTTAAAAGATTGATACTTTGTTGATAAATAATCTAAGATACAGCACCTTTATCTTTCATTTGCTATTAATACATGATGTTGTACTCAACCATTCTCATTCCTCAAAAATAAATTCCAGATATTATTTGTAAATCCCTAGGCCATCATGCTGTCAGACAGCACAAGTATAGCTACCATTTTGTCTTATTTGTTTTCTTCTTAAAGGTGCAAGACTTGTAAATGGGAAAATAACTTTTTATCTAACTGGATTTTTACTCTTTAGCATATAATAAATTTAATGACAACTAATCTAGCAATATTATATTTTACTTGAAGAAATAATAGGACTTTAGATTGACTCTGTGTCATATTTGAGAATACAGCATTTCATAATTGTTAAATACATCAAAATTTCAAAATAACCCAGAGAAAGAGACTTTCACCTTGGAGTTAAAAACATGGCAGAAATTCTCTATCACTCACTGTTTCATAAGTTTGTACCTCACAAAATGCATAGACAGGAATTTAATATAAAGAATTAGCTCATTTATACAGAACACATATCTTAAACACTTCTTTTTGGCAAACCAACAAAGGAAAGCAATTCTGGAACTGCCAAATTAAAATTTGTAAATTTGTAGCAAACAAAGAGTATATTTTTAGGTTATTATTCAACTGTGGTTGTAATTTAAAACCTGAGGCTGTGCACTGGTTGTTAGCTTAAAATTACCTTTCCTTATAACATTGTGCTTCCATTGTATAAGAAATAAAAATTAACAAGAACTAGAAAAATTTGTTGTTGAACAGTGCTAGGACATACAGACAAAAATACTAATACATGTTATCTACTTATAACATTTGTTTAAGTAATATCTAAAGGGATATAATGGACGTTAGAAAATGCTTACTTATGACTGAATTACCTACAGCCAAAAAAGTTAAATACGTATCAAATAATGTTTAATTAGATTTATTATATGCACTATATACAGATACTAAAATGTCTCAAAATTGTGCCCTATGAATACTTCAGTTTTGTTTAGGAAGATGAGTTCTTATGGAGCAAATAAATTACAGAACCAAATAGATAAATGAATGATTTCTTGTAATTCCCAAAACAATTAAGTGTTTGGACAATTTATTGGTAAATGAACTTAAAACAAACTAATGATGTGAATATATAATTATATAAGGTGTCATGTTGTAATTATAATTTATACACATGGCTCCTGTATCAAATGCTATATTTTAAACAGCAAATTGATTCAGCATTATCAGTATAATCTCAAACATTTCAGAAACTACACTACAGTGCTTTCAGTTTGTATTTTGTAGGGCATATGTTACTAAAACATGTGTTTTTAAAGATAGACAAGTAGAAAAAATTATTTGTAAACCTCTATTTTTTCAATTAAACTTCGGTATAATAGGTCTTTACCTAATCCTGCTACTTGTGAAAGCCATCCTATGTCAAAGTAATGAAATCTATGACTTACAAGGGAAAAAAGTGGGGGTGGGACATCTGCATACATTTTAAAATGTATGAAACAACTCAATATAATGACCAAAGTAGATGATTAACATTGTTAAGGCTGTATATTCAAGCACTGTATGTTAAAAGAGCAATGGTGTAAAATTTAGCGGAAGAAATGTCCTGCATTATGGATGGTACAGTAATTAAAGAATGATGCTTTTGACAGCTGATTGTTGGTATACACTGGCTACTGAGAACAGTACAGTATGAAAGTTAATAAAAGTAGCAGAGGATGGTAGAAATGATTTCTGAAAGATGATAGCCAGTTTTCGCCAGCAGCCAGCCTGGTACGTAAAACTGAGAATTGAGGCCTGAATTTTAAATAAAATACTCTTTTTTCTCCTCAGCATTGACTTGGCTGCCTTCAGCATTGATAATGGCTGTGTCAGCATCTGGTGCATCTTCAGCTCCTTTAGCTTCGTTTGTTAGATATGTTCCTGTAGAGAGTGGAAGAAAATTACGTTAGTTCTGTGAGCTAGCACTAAAGCTGCATTTCCTTAGGAAGGAACATTGTCAGATTTCTTAAACGTTGGAACATGTTCTTAGATATATGAGGCACACAATTCACTCTTCTAAAGTTGTATCCTTCCTTTCTGCTTTTTGGTATATGTTGGAAGAGCCAAAACAGAATGAGTAATAAGTAATTTTGACTTCCTTAATGCTTGACAAAGGCCATATACATGATTCAGCTGAAGATGTAGTTAAGATATGGATAATAGTTGTACTAAGTGTTTTACCATTTATTTTTGGAATTCTATTTAAAAGGAAGCTGTATCAGGCTGGGGATTTAGCACAGTGGTTCCACTGCCTGCCTCGAAAGTACAAGGTCCTGAGTTCAATTCCCAGTACCAGAAAAAAAAAAGTAAGCTATATCAATAATACAATGGCTTATTGTAAAAAATAATATATTTTCCTCATCAATATGGATGCACATATTTTGTTTTCATAAACTTAAGACATCAACCAAATACCTACAATTCCATTTTAATCCTAGAGATAAATTACAAACTTTATTCTATTTTCTTTTTCTGAGTCAGTTTTACTCAGCTTTGAATGAAATTGGCTTAAAAGAATTATGTTTCGACAGTGACCGAAGCTCACAGAAGGAACCCCTTTCTGAGGAAAAAAAAAAGTGGAAATTTTTAATTTAACTCTAGGATTAAAATCTAAGTGTAAGCATGTGTTTGGTTGACATTTTTATTCATAAGCTTATCAAAATACAGCCATATTAGTGAGGAAAATAGGTAAATATTTTGCAATATGATAGCATAATATTGATATAATTTATCAAATATAGTCACTAGAATGACATTTGTAATGGTCATTACCAAGAATTTTAGAATTAATTTAGTATTTAGGATCTCCCCTCACTCATTTTTGTCTCTCTGTCTCAATTTTTCCCTACCCCCCCAAAAAATGCACAGAGAAATACACGCACTCATGTAATACAATATTTCAGGATGGAATAAAAATAATAGAACTCTCTTTAATTATAACGTACCTTTATGTCTGGCAAGATATCGACCAAGCAGAAATATGGAACACAATGTGACAAAGACAACCACAGCCACTATTCCTCCTATGAGAGCATGGTCTGGGCCAGTCTGGCCAGCTAGAGCATTGGGGTCTGGAAATGAAAAGAAAGCACTATTTTAGTTAGGCTGTTAAACTCATCATAAAATAAAAATATGTACTAGAATGAATCATTTGGAAACTTTGCACATTGCAATTAAAATAAAATTGCATTAATATGTATCATACCAATCATCCGCTCAACAATATTTATTATGTGTCTATAACATATGGGTACCTGAGAAGATACCACTGAACATACCAATCACAATTGCCACTAATTTTCATTTTTTAAAAAAAAGACTATATAAATAGATAGATGTATGTGATTTCAGACATTTATACTTTTTCTTGCTCCTTCCTCCTGAAACGATGACTGTACAAGTAAACATGCACATATAAATATATATGTATGCATATGTACGTGCATATAAATTCACACACGTGTATAATCTAATAGGAGGAATACGGAAAATTTGTACCACATAAATCTGGTTATTTCTGTAATTATAATTTATCTTATATTCAGAAGCCGTTGAAATTAGATTACGGAGGCAAGTTGGAAAAGTTTAGAGAACTGGACAAGAGAAGCCCAAGAATGTTGCAAGAAGAGCTTGGTAAGCAATTTTGGTCAGGTTTCAGAAGAACAGAATGCTGGAAGGAATATGAACAATAAATGCCAGGGTCATGAAGTTTCACTTGAGAATAAAATGCACTTAGGAATTGGCCTAGAGGCAAAGCTTGATACACCCTGGAAAAAACTGTGTCTACGTTTTCCCCATGTCCTGAGATTTTTGAGGGAACCTGAATTTAAGGATAGTGTAGTAGTTGATCTGGCACAGGAAATTTCATAAGAGTCTAAATTTCAGATTGAATCAAGAGCACTGTTAGCCAAATGTATAGTTCAAATTTGGAGGAAAAAAGCAGAGCATAAAGAATAGAAAAACTTATATTCTGGCCAGAGAAGAGGCACATTAGTCAAAATTATTAACGCGTTCTCAATTATTTGGAGATTAAGTATAGTTTAAGGAGAAGTGTTTAGAGTTGACAAGAGATGGACTTGTGCATATTAGTTTTGTCAACTTAACTGAATTAAGACACTCCTGGAAAAGTGACTGGATCATGGAGTGCAACACTTGTTAGTGGATTTATCCCCTGGTGTTTATAGCTGAAGGTGCTCTGAGGAGGAGGTGGGTCCCTGGGAGCTCCCCTTGTGAGCATTTATCACTCTCTGGGATTCCCCTGTGCTCTGCTTCCAGATGCAATGAAATAAGCACCTTCGCTCCACTGTGTCTTCCTTAGACCCAGGCAACCATGGCCGGAACTATGAGGCAAACTAAATCTCTTCTCCTGAAGTTGATGATGTCAGATATTTTGACTGAAGAATGGGAAATTTTACTGATACAATTACAACATTCTTCATTGTTTGCAGGTTGAAATTGTAATTTTGATTTACACAGTGATAGAGTTTTGCTTTGTTTTATTCTTGAGATATTACGCAGAAGGATTCTCTGTTCTTCTGCTGATGCTTATTTGATTGTCTTTGATGTAAATCAGCTCCATTCCTAAAACTCTTTGTAACTGAATATGGATTATAGGCCCTGTATACTTAGTGGAAGGCATGGAGAATGAGCCTTGACAAGGAGATAATTATGGGACGAAATTTCTTTGATTATTTAATTTTCCTTCTGCTTTTATCCGGCCTGTATTCGTCACTCTAAAAGACATTCTTAGGCACTATCTTTAAATTTTTTTTCAATGCTAGCAATGAATCCTAGGGCCTTTTAATGTTAACAATGAATGCTAGGTCAACAGTCTACCACTGAGCTATACCTCAATCCCCTTAGTTAATGTTTAAGCAATCCCTTTGATTTTGAACATTAAAATAATCTGATCTGTTAAAATTTACTATAGTTCAATTTAGATTTATCCTGTTCATCATTGAGTGTGTATTTTTTCTCTTGGCTTCAGATACTTATAGACTTTCAGATTTTTGAAAAAATGAATTTATTTAGCCCTACTTACTCTTAAGTTACATGACGGAAACTTTTTCAACATTTAGCTTTCGTCTCATCAACAAAATAAACCCAACATAGTCTCAGGACTTCTAAAAGTTTAAAGAACATTTCAATATAGAGAATTTTAAATTACACATTTGCTGCTAAGTATGTTTTTCAAAAGTAACATTTGCTATACATACTTTGTTGTCTATGCTTTCTATTTTGCTGGGAGGAATAAAAATATCTCTTTAATTTCTATACTTAGCAAGTAAAACAAGTAATTGAGGATCAGATAAGTATCATCTGAACAATGCAGGGATACTACATAATTTAAATGGCTAACTCCTACTGGGAATCTCATATATTCTTTCTCTCATCCATCTCTTCCTGTCATATCAATAAAATATGAGGTACATCCTTCTGAAGTTTCTTTATAGTTAGCTAAGTTTGCATTATTAGTCAGGCAAATACATCACACATCTTTAGATCACTTTCTTCCTAAGTGTTAGCCCATGATTTTTTGGAGTTAGAGTGTGAACACTGGAGTAAGAAAATTCCAATAGATTGGCCAGTATATTAGTAAAAATTTCTCTATCTGACAATGCACAAAATATATTGCTAAATTAAAATATTCTGAGCTTAGTTCATCTCAGTTAAGGATTTTGAATTTTAATAAAGTACTCCAAAAGGGAAAAGTATGTAAAAATGACAAGAAATAGGACAATTCTTTGTATTTAGAAAAGTGGGAAACATTAAAGTACAATTTTATTTTAATATTAATATGGAAAATCATAAATTACATAATCTTATCTCTAAAATCATTGCTAGTGCATTCTATCAAAAGTCTAATGTGTTAGTTTTCTTTAAATAAATTCTATTATACAACATCTCTATTTCTAAGATCACAGCATGTTGAAATTGTGAACAAAATTGAAATGAACTTGCAAAGCAGACTGAGTTACTCTTCAAATGTTTGACCAAGAAAACACAAGAGACCAAGCTTCAATCTTGACCATTTCAGAAATAATGCAGCCCATGCAATGAGCCTGTGCAGGTGTTAGTCACTTTCACCACGCATATGGAAATCTCACCAGGCTGAGACAACATTCTGCTGTTTATGCACTGAGGTTCAAAGATACCAGTAAAGCAGAATATCCCAATCTTACAGATAATGTTCAAAGTACCCTTGCTCCTGTGTTCGCGTCTTTTCCAAGAATTTCTTTGTTCTTCTTGTTTCACTCCTCTTTCTAAGAGAACTGGTTTATGCATATTTTTCAAATTACTCACTGCCTTTTTTTTACAAGCCAATTTTCTACCCTGTCTTCACCAATCTAAATCCATGACAAACAACTGATGTATCTTCTCTTCATTTGTGGTTTTGCCTTTAAACCCTGTTAAAAATTGTTATTATTTTAGAACACATATTCAAGTCTGCTTCAATCCGTATGTTTTCCAAGTTACAATTTTGATCAGCCCAGATAAACTGCTTCTTTGTTTGTTCTTGAATTGAGTTTATTGTTATATTTTAGGTATACAGTACAGTTACATTCATTGTTGGGATCTTGTACCTCTACATGACAGGTCTTGGTTCTCATTTTTCCCCTTACCTCTGCCCTCCCCTCACCCCCTCCTGCCCTCCCCATCTACAAACACTTTATTTTCATCTTTTCATTATCTCACATTTTTTCCTTTTCCTTTATTACCCTTCCCTTATAAAAACTTTTTATTTTCATCTTTTCATTATCTCACATTTTTTCCTTTTCCTTTATTACCCTTCCCCTACCCATCCCACCTTCCCTACACCTTTAGCCCCTTTCTTCCCATTTCACAATGTCAGTTTCTTAACAAATGTGTGCCTCAGTTTCTTTAGAGTCATCAAAAGTATTGATATTGCTTTTCAACAAAGCATTAGAATTATTTTACAAATAATATTTTACCAAATTAATTGATATTATTGCCAATTGGCAATAAAATGTTGAGGACTGAAATTTAAATGTTTTAAGATATTTAATATATAATAGAACTGTTGCTATAAGAGATTACATCTCAAAGCCTAATTTTGTGTAACAAAAAACAGTAAAAATTTTCAAGTGAAAGACTTTGCTCATAAAATTCAAATTTTAAAATTTATGGTAAATCTAAAAACCCCTTTGTGTTATTTGTATATGTTTTTGGACACATTTCTTAAACTTCTAATTGTTAGAATGTGAATACATAGTTATTAAAATTTTCAAGGACCGACTATCCTTAAAAGAAGAATGTCTGATGCAAAGTAAACATTAACTAGTTATATGAGGGGAAAAATGAAAAGCAAAAACTGCCATTTAAAAAATGAAGTTTCCTTTTCTGGCATATAATAAACACCTAAAATACTCATTTATAGCATACCGCTTAACCTAGGGTCAAGATAGTAAATGCGAAACATTCTAAGTGTCTAACTACTTCAAAGATTAGAACAATATTGAGAGGAAGTTTGGTGGAAAAATAGGGTGGAATTCTAATGGGTAAAGATTAAATGAGAGTAATTTGTTGAGTAAACTGTGTAAGGCTCTGTTAAAATTGTTATTTTATTCAATGTGTGTAAAGCGTTGACTTGAAAACGTCATCATTGTTAACCATATGATGACTGATAAAGCACAGAATACATTGCTGAAACTAGTTTGAAATACTTGCGTAAAGCTTAAACATAATTAAGAAAGTCAGTTTTTTAGTGTGGTTCAAAGGATTCTCACTTTGAGAACAAGAAGTGCTTCACATCACTTATAGCATTTTATATTTCCACAAGACTGTAAGGTGAGTCCACTGCCCACCCACAGTAAATGACTGTGCAGTGCTACCTCAAGAATGTTTCTATCCTGTAAAACTTTCTTCTTTCCCTCTCTGTGTGAGGATTACAAATAACAGTGACCAGTTTTCTTATATTAATTATTGATAAAGTATTTAATTCAGGAATATTTCCCCCTGGATTATATCACTTGCCTAAATTTTATTTTCCCTCAAAGATACACATTTTCTTGAAAGTGTGCAATATTTACTTGTAATACAGCTGCAACAG